ACTTTACCAAACTTATTGTGAAGTACATTAACCTGAGTTAGGCAGAGTTCAGCCATCTCCTCTAAAAATACGTTGTTGCACGCTTTAGACGCGAAAGGTACGATATCATTGTCAATGATGTTCCATGATATGCTTGGTAAATTAAAATCACCCAACACAATCATTGAGTCAGAGGGTTTAGTCAGTAAATTAACTGATTTCAGTAAAGAGATGAGTCGTTAATACACCAATGTGTCAGATCGGGGAGGGATATAGCATAGAGCTAAGTAAATAGACCCTTTTCCAGCCTGTACACGAATGCATTTGAACTCTACTGAATCAATGTGTGGAAGATTAACTTCTTCAGATGGTATTGAAGAGTCTACAGCGAAGAGTACGCCACCGCCGATTCTGTCCTCCCTATCTTGTCTATAGATATGATAATTATTTGGAAGAATCTCTAAATTGAAAATGTGAGGTTTCAGCCAAGTTTCAGTAAAAGAAAGAATATTATAATTACATTCAAGGCCTTTAAAGTATAAGTTCGTTAATTTAGTATTTAAGCCTCTTACATTTTGGTAATAAATACTTAAAGCAGATTTAATAATTAGTTTTTTAATTCAGTGTTATGACGGGGAATATTAGCTAAGTTATTTACTTTTTTGGGCCTATATTCGAATTCACGAACGAAAGCTCCGGGGGGCAAAAAGAACTACTAAGCAGCACATTAAAATTATCTAAATTTACGTCAATTTTAAATGAAGCAATATTTCTTTCGTAATTAAAATTAAATTTTCTGATGCTTAAGTCGACAGTTGTAATTTTTGATGAGATATAAAGCTTTATATCGTCTTCGGTAGTGTCTCTCGAAAATCTAGAAACAAAGATTGACTTCTTTGGCGGAACCACAACTAATTTCCTTGTATCAGACTGGAGTACCGGTGGAAGGGGTTGAGTTAGTAGTTGAGCATAGGGAAGGCGGTGGAGGCTTTGAAGATGATGCCACCGCTTCAATGGGGGAAGGGGAATATACTTCAGGCTCTTTATTATCCGAAGCAGATTTCGTTGCACGGTCTTTTGAGGCTGAGGATTCTGATGCTGGAGGACACGGAGAGGATAAATTAATTAAGTCCGTCGGAAGATTATTCTGACGTGCAACGGCAGCAATTTCCTTAGATGGACTTTGAAGACGCTTACGTTTAGACACACGGATATCCTTAACAGATTGCAAGGTATCTAAGCATTTGAATGATTAAAATATATTTTCATAATGCTTAAATTTTTCTGTCAGTACAGACAATTCTCTTCCTATTTCTGGTTTGCCTAAATAGCTTGAAAAGATCAACTTCGGTTGACCTGCACTTTACGCAAGACCAGCGAAGGCCCTTGCCATCATTAATAGCGTCCAGAATTCTTCCCATCAAACCAGCACATTTCAGATGGTAAATACCATCACACAGCCAGCACGATAAGTAGCATTCAGAATCGCTTTTAATTTGGCAAGTATCAAGATCACACTTCATATTGAAAGATTTATGTAATACACTCTTTAATAAAAGACAAACAAAATAAATTATAACAATTAAGGAGCTGATGTAAATAGCTTTAAATAAATGTAGCGAACAGTTTGAGTATCACTGTAATTATGGCACTTAATAAACGCAACGCAAACAGCTGTGACAAGAATTACTAGAAGAAGTAAACAAAAAGAGTAGAACAAATGTGCAAAAACGAAATGAAAGTTAACTACAAAGGATACAACAACAATGATAGCAACAAATGACTCGGCAAAATTCGAATGTATGCTAGTGAAATTTAATTAAATTTACTTTAATATAAAACCAATAACTTTCACTTAGCTTCAATTATTTCACACTCTGATGCTCATGAGCACTTTTTATCACTACTTTAACACAGAATTAGCACAATGAACTTAGTAAGTAGAAAGCCAAAATCAGAGCACAATAAAGTTCAACTTCACAGCTTGACGTTTGCTTAAATGTGCAAACCACCACCAATTTTTTTTGAAGGTCATCACATCTGCAACGTTATTTCGAATTTCCAAAATGAGAAGTCAAATTAAGGAACTGGGATTCTTCATAGATATGCACAGGTTTTATTTTTGGAAGTTACAGGGAGATTTGAAATTTTATGAAATGAAAACCGACACCATGCGAGACCTCTCATCACTGAGAAATGGTTTAGATTAATCATTAGGAATATTTCTAGAGGTTTTTGAATAGGGTTTCACCTGTTTAAAAAATTTAATTAAATGTTGGCGTTTTGACGCCATGCGGGTTCACTAGTTTTGTACATATTGTGTGTGCTTTAACCAGACCCACCTACCGACCTGTATTTCGAACCGCTGAATCCGAATATGAGGACCGTTTAACTTCTACACCTTCAAAATTTCGATTAATATCCGGAAAACCGAAAAAATGGCAACAAATTCGCATAATTTATAGTTTTAATAAAGCCTTCGGAGTAAATGACGTGAAAAATCGTAGCTGAAAATAAAATTGCGAAAAAATTATGAAGTAAATAAACATAAGCAAGGTAAAAAAACCTCACGGTTATGCTTGACAAATGTCCGGGTCTAAGAGCCTCCGGGCTTGGGACAAAATCTGCGCTGCGGGTTTGCCATTAATTTCTTCGAGTTGCGGTTAAAAACGTTGAGATTCTCAGATTTACTGGACTAACAATAAGTTGTTTTCTTTTTATTTTTTGTGTATGACAAAAATTAAATTTTCTGTAAACACGTACATTTATTATGTGGTATGCTTTTGATTCGCTCTTCTAGTGTCGTTTAAAATATTTTAACATCATTGCCATTGTTGAAACTATTAGAGATGTTTTCTGTTTTATGAGCAAAGAAACCTACCAAATTTTAAGCATCCTACCATCCTACCAACGAAAAAAAAAAACCGATTTCGGTAGGAAAAGTCCAAAAGGGTTGCCCCTGCTTGCACTTCCTTATACTAGAATTAAATGGTCAACAAAACTGCATACCAAAATTCTGATTAAAAAGTTTAAAATTTTGGTGAAAATAAGCAGAATTTTTCTAATTTTTGTACAAAGTTTGAAATCTGAATTTATAATCGTAGAAAATTGTTTCATAGTAAAATAATAATAAAAAAAAAATAAATAAAAAAATAAAAATATTAAAAATAAAAATAAAAATAAATAACAAATAACAAATAAAAATGAATAAAAAGTACTTTGAAAACATATTGAGAGCCATTTTGCCTATGCCTTGAAAGGGTTAAAAAGCGTTTCATATATGACAGACTCTGCATTAAAGGGTTAAATGCTGCACTTTCGTAAAGATTTCGACCAGTATAACCATTTTTGTTATATAAATTTTTTTGTGAAAGCTGATAGTTTACGAGTTGTTAGAGTTTAAAGGAAGCTTTTCTTTTTCCAATTTGGCCACTCGGGTACAGCATCCAATGCCCCAAAAACCAAATCTTAAGATAAAATAAAGAGAAATCTTTCAGAAACAGTGCTAATGGTGTATCAAATATAGTGCTTTCTAATAGAATAGGAGCCAAAATCCAAAATTTCAAAAAAGTGACATTTTGAACGGTATTTTGAGGGTTAAGTTATTGTTGTTGTAACTTCTCTATAATTTTCCTACATTATATCATCATTTATCTTCACGATAAAAAAATGTTCATTCCATTATCTCTTTTCTAACCGAAGATCTACGATTTAAAAAAAAAAAACCCGTGTTTTGCCTATAGTGCGGCGTCTTCCAAACGTACTGAAACTACCCAAAGGGGCCAGAAGCGCCCCATTAGTTCTATTGGAGCGCTCCATATTCAGCAGCAAGCGCTCCCTTCCTAATTTCATACTTCATTGTATTTTAACATTGTGTGTCATTAGAAAGAAGCGCTCCCTTGCTGCTCCCAAAGAAGCTCTTGGTGAGCGCTTCAACTAAAGCATTTAAAAAGCGATGCATGCAAATTTTATCTTTTATATAATATTTTTGTTTTAATGAAATAATGGCGTTTTTGTAAACCATTTGATGGTTTTATTAAGTGTACTTATAAACATGTTTTTTTTCCTTTCTATGTGGTATACATACGAAAATACATACATACATACATATATGTGACCTGGTCTACGGAAAGGGGGCTTAGGTGTCAAAAAATCAATTTTCACTTTTTGGTTGATTCGGATGGAAGATGAGATGCTTTTTCACGTGGTGAAAAGCAGAAAATCCTAACTTGCTTAGAAGTGTACTAAAAATGTAGAGAAGAAGAGTAAAAATACGACAAAATATAATTTATTGATAATGAACAAAATACATTGAATTATAAGCTATAAAGACATGATTATACACTAGAAAAACGTATTATGGGCCAAAAATAATAATGCTGAGTAGTTTATGTGTTTTTCTTTGTTGTCGTTTTCCTTGAGATCTTTTTACGTGTTGATCCTGAGGAAGATGGACCGGTTCCTCGTCTGGTTTGAGAACATCTTCACTAGTTTTTGCCTTCCGTTTCTTCGATGGCAAATCTTTCGGCAATGGAGCCACAATATCTACTTTAGATATATCCGAAACTAAGCTGCGAAGATTGTGATAGATGTACCACTGACGTTCCAAAGATAAACCGGATGGTTGTATAACTTTCGGCATTTCAGGATCGATAGGTTTTAACAGAAGCTTAAAGGACTGCACTTCTTCACTGTCTGCGAATTTCTTTGTTTTTACACAATCTGTAGAGATTATGAAATGATGGAATTGCGTTATTCCAACAAGTGACTTGTACAGTGGTTTAAAATAGCTGTCCCATTCATACCAGACGACTTTTTCAGCCGATATAGCTTTATTATAACCCCCAGGTGATGATGCCTCGACACACTGCAGTAAATCTGCATACGTGTCGATGTTACTGACGGCATACTTACTTTTGAAAATACCGAAGTAACGATCAGGCGCGAACTTAGTGTGCCCGGTAAGTAGAAAATTGAATAAAACAGTTTTGTTAAGACCCCGAGCCAAACACCATTGCAGATATGATAGTACAGTGTTATTCTTATTCTGCCCAACACAATTGTCACAGAAAAGAACGAGTGTTTCAATGTCTTTATAGTAGGTTTGCAGGTGATAATGCAGGATGCTCACAACACAGTTAGGTCCTTTACCAACGTCATCTTTTTCGTCTATCATGTAATTGTACTGTAAAAAAAAATATAAGTAAGATCCTGTAAAGGCGAGCAATTTGAGTTCCTATGATTCAGTTTGAAATTCTAACCTGAACTTTTTGTTTTTCGTCTGTAATTCCGAAGACTCCGCACTTCTTGGTTGCTTTGAAGTATGCTGTACCAGGTTGTTGTGGACTGACAGGGTAGTGAACGGTTTGGGCAAAATCAAATGACAGAACGACTGCTGTAGGGTCAGTATTTCTACACCAACTTTGATAATATTCTCGTTGATTTCGGGCTCGGTGGAGGTGATCAAGAAATTGATTAAGCTTCTGTGCGCGTTCAATGTCAGTAACACCTTTGGCTTGCGCAATCGATATTGTGTTTCCTATTAAAAGAAAAAATACTGAATTTAATCTCAACGTTTGATACAACTATAAAATGAGAAAATAATGAGCTACTTACCACGGCAGACATCGCAGAGATCATCCGCTGGTTTCATAACTCTAACATGGGGTATGTATTTGGACCATATCCGTCGAAAACTGCAATTACTCATCTTCAATTCGTCATCACTGAGTGAAGAAATGTATTTTCGATAAATTGAGGACTTCGTCTCGCTGGATGGCAGTTTCATTATCCGAAAATCCTTAAATTTTGGGAGTCGTCCGGGCAGTGGAAGAGCCATTAAATCGGCTATAGACTCGATGAATTTAACAGCTTTTTCGATGTCAGCCGGTTTAAATGACTTTGGATGTGTACTCGGTTTATTTGCCAGTCCGTGTTGGCGCACTGTTACACCCTGTGCGTGAAAATGACGTACTAAATTTTCGTAACGCTTCGTACAAAAAGGAAAAACGAACGACAAACAGGTACTCTGTAGAAGGTAAATTGAAGTCTATGCCTCATAACTTCTGTATCCTGTCTCTGTCCATATTTCTTCCGCCCAGCAAGCTTTGCGTATACACTTTCTAGCTTTTCGTTACTCATAATTCCAGCTTCGATGTGACTTAGTATCACTAAATCAAGTTCATTTTTCGACATCTCTAAACAATTGTTCCGCGTACTCTCGATCATTTCCCGTGGTATCAGTGTATGGCATTCATTATTACAACAATCTTTTGACAGAAATTTTGTTACCAGCTCCTCCTCCTTTACATCAACAACATACAGGTCCATCTTAACAAAAGTTTGTTCGGTATCATCTTCTGCCTGAGATACACATACTTCGTCTTCATCATCATCGCTCTCTTCATAGTTTTCATCATCCTTTTCATGGAAATATTGTCCGTATACGGCACTGAACTCCTCATCAACACTCATGTTTCATTTCATGCGAAATGCGAAGACGATAATCAACAGAAACAGTAAACGTCACTTCTTCAGTGTTACTTTTTTAAATGTTCCACACTAGCAACTTACACGATGAACTATAATAATATTCCGACCAACAACAACACTTACTGGACCAACAACAACACTTACTGGACGTCCGGCGCGGAGAACAATTAACGAAATAATGAGAAACTGACGAAACGATTTGCTTACTTTTAACAGCTTTTTCACAGAAAACTAGTTTTCGCACGTAAGCTCCCTTTTCGTAGACCAGGTCACATATGTACATAAATTAACTTTTTTTCAAAAGAAAATATTTTATGTTACTACTCAAAATGATATTTATTTCTGAGCATTGTTAGAAATTTAAAAACTTATTTTTTACTTTGCTTTCGTACTGCTCCGTACTTGCTCCTTTGGGGAGCAGCTCACTTTCAGTCCCGTTGGGTATTACCTATCTTTGGATGTATATACATTAGACTGCATCAACAAAAGAAGTTGCGGTTTTTCCGCCGGAATTACAAAATTTATTATATTTTAAGACGTCCACCAAAATATTTCGTAAAAATATTAAGATTTAAGTGAGCTGGACCGATTTGAAAATACCCCAAAAATTAAGTTTTTTATGAATAAAAATAGTTTCTTAAAGAACTTTTTGAAAAAAGTCCCCTCAGATGACAATCTAGATTAAGCTTAAAAAATCTGCATAAAAATATTTCCAACGGAATCGCAAGAATGAGATTTTTGATGCTGTTTTTTTTACTTTTTCAAAGATTGCTTTACGAAAAACTTGAATAACTGGGCCAAAAATATTATGATTTAGACTTATGGGATCTCAGTAGAAAGGTATTTTTACACTGTTTTTATTTCTGGCCAAAAAACGTCATTCGTGTTTCATCTTTTTTCTTCGAGTACCAACACATCTTAATTCAACTTTGAATGACGTTCGTTCCTCCTACCTTTCTCTTCCATTCTTTGAATGAGTTTATTAGCAAAGAAATAAAAAGGGTGAGAAAATACCTTTCCAATGACACCTCAAATCTCATCATTACGATTCCGTTCAAAATTTTTTTTTAATTTTTTTTAAATATTTTTATGCAAATATTTTGAGCTTAAACCGTTTTGTCATTAAGAAACTATTTTTATTCATAAAAAACTCCATTTTTGGACGTATTTTCAAATCGGCCCAGCTCACTTAAATCTTAATATTTTTCCGAAATATTTTGGTGGACGTCTTAAAATATAATAGATTTTATAATTCCAGTGGAAAAATAGTACCGATTTTTTTTGTATGGGGAGTGATGCAGTCTAATATACATACATATAATACTTCTGTTCGTGTGTTTGTGAGTAAATCGATTTCAACGAAATTTTTTGTGTGGGCTCGAGTAAGGTCTCTGGATAGTCTGGATAGTTCAAATTCCCAGCTTGACCTGCCAGGTGGCGCTGTTATTGTTAAAAATCATAATTATGATACGATCTGCCTTATATTCGAGATACTTATGTATTGGTAACGGTAAGGGCAATACTATTGCAAAAAACAGCCCCAGGTGACGCTGGGGTCGAGTTATTACTAAAAATCGTCAAGTGAGAAAAAGTGCCGTGAATGTCCGATTACATCGACGTGCTGTACCGCCGAGTATGTCGAATTCCCGTGTGTTCCGATTGGCCTAATGAACGTGAATTTCCAATATTACTGTGAGTTAAAGCTCCATTCAGAGACTCCAGGATAGAGTTGTCCAGGCGTCAATCTCAAATGACCAGATTTAAATCTACCATTTCGCTCCTTCATAAGAGCCTTAAGGTATTTCGACTGAAATAAGTCTGTGTATATGGGATTTCTGTAGAACAACGATACTCACCAATTTTTAAATTGCCACCAACTATACCAAGGACAGCTTCACCATCGAACCGGATCATTGTTGCTGCCAGGGAGTGAATGGGAAAAAGCCCTTCAAATTTATTTCGTTGTGCGATTAACCGTGCTATGAAACGCCAGAATATTGGAGAATTTCAAGAACTTCTTCACGAACATACACTTTCGTTAGGTTATTAAAGACGACATTGGAAATATGCCTTCTGACAACCACCAAACCGTAATATTAGCAGATAAATGTATCACAGGAAATCGTGAACGTGAATTGTTGGTGAAAATGTTGGTCCAAAATATTTCAGTAAAAAAAATTAATTTTGGTCGGGACGAAGTTCGCCGGGTCTGCTAGTAGATATTAATTAGCAATAGAAGCCAAATCAACAATTTTTTAAATTTTTGTCTGTCTTCCCGTCTGTGTGTCTGTCCGTCTGTATGTTTGTACGGACTTCACTGGAAAACTAATGCATGAAATTGAATACAGTTTTCACCGAGGTCTAACCTAAAATATAGGAAGAAAAAAAAATATTTAGTAAAAAAAATTAATTTTGGTCGGGACGAAGTTCGCCGGATTTGCTAGTAGATATTAATTGGCAATAAAAGCCAAATCAACAATTTTTTAAATTTTTGTCTGTCTTCCCGTCTGTGTGTCTGTATGTTTGTACGGACTTCACTGGAAAACTAATGCATGAAATTGAATACAGTTTTCACCGATATATTGCTGGACGTTTGAGAGTTTGCACCTGTTTGAAAATTGCAGTTTATGGAAATTGATAAGCTAAGGTAAACATTGCAATATGACTGTCAAAAGAAAGAAATAAGGTTTGCAGCCGAAAAATTTTTGGTGGAGGTTTTCACATATTTTAAAGTTTTAATTTAATTTAATTGATAAGATAAATTAAAGATTGCAATATGGATATCAAATTGAAGAGGTTTAGGAAAGTTTACTGCCGAAAATATTGAGAAGGGTTACCACATTTTTGAAAGATCGTATTTAATTAAATTGATAAAATACATCAAATATTACAATACGAGTGTCAAACAACATAAAAATACTTTTAAGGCGCAGCGAAGCACGCCGGATATTTGCTAGTATGTTTATAAATTCAAGACCGTATTTCTACTTAAATTGCCTAACTTTGACAATTTGTATGGAATTTCATTAAGTGGGATACCAATTTATTCCAAAAAAAAAAATACTAAATTTACTAAAAATTTAGTTAAATTCTACATATTTGGCAACTTTCATAGAAATTTTTGAAATTAGCGATGGTCAAACTGGAAAAAATCTAGAAAAATTGGGGTTCTTTAAATTTTAGCCGTTGAAAACTCTCAACAAGCTAAGTCTAACTATATATATATCACTTTAAAAATTTGTAAATCCCCTTTTCAAAACATGTTTGATTTTCAAAGTCGGAATAGTTAAGCTTTTAATACATAAGTGCATCAAGTAACAGAACAAGTGCAGAAAATAACGGTTTTTCTTAATAAAATAAAAATGAAGGGTTCAGGAACTATGAGGAACCTATCTATTTTCACGTTTTTCTCGAGCTTACCTACAACCTACAATAAGTTATGTTTCGAATGTATTTCGTGATTTTTTTTTAGCACCGAAGGCATCAACACTCCTGTGTCGGAAGAATCTGCACCGTTTTGAAGTTACAGATTTTACTATTTCGAAAACGCAAGTACGCACATCTATGCGATTATACCGCAGTAAAAACTGTGAATTTATAGGAAAACCAAAAATATGTTTCAACAAAAATAAAATTCTTAACTTTTCTACATTAAACATGTTTTTTTTCTTATATTAAGTTCAAATTGGCCCCATTTAACTTGTTAAATGAAAAAAAACTTTTGGAAAACACAATCGTCCACATTGAACATTTGGAGCTAACTTTGACGGTTGTTTGATTACCAATAAAAATTCGAAAAAAAAATTATTCAAAATCAAGTTTTTGTGTTTCAATTTGTTTTGTGCGAATCATGGTACAATAAAAACAGGTAGAAGCCTATTTGACGTCAAACCTACAAAAGTCGAAGCTTTCGGAAGAGTAAATAAAAAATGAGCGTGTGTAAGGAAAAATAAAAAATTACATTTCACTGGTTGACGTTTTTAAGTAAATTTGAAGTTTATTTTTATTTATTTATTTTCTTTAGTTAAAAATTTGTTAACTTGTATGTTGTTTTCTGTTTTTGATTTATGAGTTGCAGTGTTGTTGGAGGGACTTTTCTGCATAAGGGTCATAGGTCCTGTACCTCCGGTGTATTTGTGAAATCTGCTCTTTTAAAATGTTTAACGCACAGCAAGGCATTTCGCTGCAGCTCTGCCCCACAGGACATTGAGGCACGTTAAAAAAATTAGTGGTATCTGCTTTATATTTAACACCACATAAAAAATCACGCTTCAGATGTTGCATTTTTAACACATACACTAAGTATAAACCGCACAACACTACAAAAATTCAAATGTTAATTAAAATTTGTTATTAACGAACGTTAAAAAAAAACGATATGACGATATAAGCGTAGGAAATAAAAGAAAAACAAGTTGAAGTTTAAAGGTTTGGTTCTCATGATAGCAACGTCATTTTGGCTTCTACCTGTATTTATATGCCTTGTGTGCGAATGGCTGCTTCATTATATTAACGCACA